GATGCTCCCAGCACCGAGCACTGTCGCTACCAAATACTATGCTAGCAAACGTTTGCGAATTGTACAGTGAAATTTCTTTCACACCCTTTTTCAAACAGAACATAATTTAAATTAAATTTACTTCTAAAATTTACAATGAATTTTAATACACTTAGCATATTTAACAATTCCCTACAAACACTACTCATTCCAAACAAACATTTAAATATTCACAATTAATGTTTCTTTCAGCGAATCATCAGGGAATTAAATATATTACATACTTGACAAGGCATTCACTGCTCTCTTTTGCTCGCCCTGTTTGCGTTTCTACGTTAATATTCATTCAATCTTTGTCTAATGATCACAGCGACCGCGCGATCGCCGCGTCAATATCTTAAAATTCACTGGCTGATAATTGCTCATCAATTTACACTAGAAATTCCAGGAATTCACCATCTCAAACCTCGCGTTGCGGTGCCATTTTGACCTGCATTATGTTCAATTTTATCTTGCCCCGCGTTGGGCAGACATTTTGTAACCTTCAATAATGTTGGATGTTACTAATTAAATTTATTTTATCATGCCCCAAGCTAGGCAGTTTTAATGATACTTTCTAATTTAATTTACCCTGCTAAGCTTGTAAATTAATGGCTCATAATTTGGCTAGCACTGTTTTTCTGTACGATTTCGCATTAGTTCGACGTACAACATACTTGTAAGTCACATTACCTTTTGCACGTGGATGTGTGACTGTACAGAAATCACGATTGCTGGAACTTCTGTGGAATTTACTACTTACTGAATTGATAGCAGTTCAATGAAATATCAGCCTTTTACTTTCAAACAACAATTAACATTTATTGTAAAATTCTTATAACATGTATCGAGCTCGTTTTTGATAAATGATTATATGGCCTCTGAACACTGTACGGCTTTGATAATGTTCGTAAGCTTACGGAATGTCTTCTCGGTTAATGCAATGCCACCGTCTTCTCCAAAATGGGATATTATGGGTCCTCCTGTGGTGTAATCAGTGAACTTAATATACCTGCAAACTATATATGTTCCCGACTGTTGCTAATTATTTAGTCCGCTATTCGGAAATCCCTATATCTGCTTTCGCGTCGCAACTTACTCTCACAAGGCTTCGGGTGAAACCTCTACTCGCGACTACTATTTCCTTTAAATGAACAATTTAAAATTCCCACTACTACCTCCCACTAACTAACCTCATGTAAAACCACGAACACGAAGTCTAAATATTTTTACATGCAAAATGCATATATATATATATGATGTATGCATGCAGATGACAAGATGCTATCGAAACCTAGACATCATAAGGAAGAAAAAAGTTACAGGAAAAATTTGGAATATTCCAAAAATGGTGCCATGACAGAGGGCTAAATGAGAAAAATACTAAAATATTCCATATCACAGAACCACAAATTGTAAGAACACAAGTTAAAATATTCTTTCATAAAGCTGATTGTATACACAAAAATTTTAAGAACTGTCAATGTAACAGTATAATTAATTCTGAAAGTAAACTGAAATATTTGGGCGTAACTTTTGATCAAAATATGAGTTGGAGAGTGCAGATTTTGGATTTAAGCAAGAAAACCAGAACGTGTGTGAAAACTAATGAGGACTTAAGATTTTGTCTTATAAAATTTTCAAATTAGCCTACTCATTAATAGAGTTTCTGATCAGATATGGAATTGGAGTAGGGGAGCTGTATTAAAAACTGTGGGTTTTATTCAAAATTTGCAGAACAAATACATTAAAATCCTCAATGAAAAAATGAATATAACAAACCTAATCCTGAAAGGGAGTACACCAGTGCATGGAACCATGATCAAAAGAAAATTTCATGAATTTCAAATTTTACAAAGAAATTTTGTCAATGAGGAATATAGAAAAAATCAGTGAGCACAATTATGAAACTAGAAGAAACACAATTTCATATTAACAGAGACTTATACAATATAATAAGTTGATTTTTTCTTTCTTTTGTAATTATTTGTTGGGTGATGACGATTTTTTGAATTCTGTTAAAGGTATAACAAGAGATTACGAATTGTTTGAAATGTATCAGTTGCCATAGTTCAGTTCAATAGCTAATTGTGTCAGTAAAGTGCAATAAGCACTTAGAGAGGGTAACAAGTGTGTGTCATACAAAGTCTCTACAACCTACTTCTTTATTTTTTTTTGTTCAGTTAAATGTAAATTTATGTACTAAACTTCTGTTGTTTTTTTTCTGTTATATTTGAAGGTGATGGTTTTATTTCTAAACTGTAATTTTTTTCTATGATAATAATAAATTCAAATTGAATTATAGATATTGGTATTATTATTATTATGGTGATTGTTATTTCAATGCCTTAAATAACAAAACGTAATTGCATGAATTTTAGAATGCAATTATGTATTAATAAAACGAATTAAACTGTATGAACATTGACAACATCATCAAATGATTAAAAAAAAGGAACACAAAATGTATATTGTTGGAAGAGGATTGTTTCTTTTATGGATTATATTTATATTGTTGGTTTGGTGGTAAACTTGGATATATATTTTTATTATTGGTATATCGCTGGCTGTAAGAATGAAGAGCAGTGGTAATAGTTTTATAAATACCATAATTTGACAGATAAATAATGTTCAATCAATGCAACATATGCAAATTGTCTGGTACAACCATTACATATTAGTATAAGACACTTTTTACAAGCAATTAATGTTTGCCTCATAACAATTGTATACGCAACAAAGCAGATTACACCAAGCCAACATAATTACACTAATGGAACCCCAGGATCTACAGGGCCCTTACCGTTACCAACAAATATATAATTTAATAGCAGCACACCGGAGCAGTAATCAGAACATGAGCAAACATTAGATAGTTTAGTCATAACACTGAATTGAATTTACATGGGAGTCTCGGTTGCGTAGAACTAAATGCAGTGAAATTCTTAAGCACAAGAAATTATAAAGGGTCCCAAGGACACTGGTGCTCCAGTTAAGAGTTAAATCAATAAACTTCAATATATAAAAATGGTAAAGGCCTATCATCGATATCAAATATTTTTGAGAAGCCTTTCTGCAATCAACATTTATTCCTACTATCACCATTACACTATTTAAGAGGCTAGCTAATACTACATGAGCAACAAGTGACAGTGAAATCGGTCTATAATAGCTCGAGTGATAGTTATCCATTTCTTGATATTTCATACATTTGTTTGAGTATACTTTTGGTAGCTCTTGATGCCAGTATTGCACTTGTAGTACGTCAATATGTTTCATGAATGTAAAAGTAAGGTATTGCTAACAAGTAAAAAAAAATTTTAAATGCAGAACTAATAATAAATCTAAAAAACAAAAAAAAATTTGTTTCTACTCCCTCACCTTGTGTTGTAAGATAATACAAGATTCTGGATTATACATTATTAGTTTAAGGTGTTATAACAAGAGACTATACCCAACTACATGTCATAGAAATACCGTTTTTCATTTAAAATACTATTAATATTGTTTAATCTACTTTACTGGGAATTGCTTTAAATAAGTCAGCTTAAAATGATTTATGTTATGCCAACATTCTTAGCTTTTCAGTTCCACATAAAATGTTCTTCTTTCTGCAATTGTATTACTTTTGCACAGCCAAATTTGGTTGTACATATAAGGATTGTTTCAGCTTTGTTTACTCTGCATATGCCTACTACTTATTCCTGTTTACCTGTTCTCAATTACTATCTTTATTTCTGCATTTATTCCTTAATATATATTTTGCTCATTCACCCTCTAAGTACTTCTCTATTGATTTGAGAATACTGTTCAATAATTACCAAGTTTTACCCTACATATTAATTCTTCTTTCTCTTCCAATCTACTCAAATACGGTTTTGACACAGCTTTAAGCAGAGAAAATTTAGAATATATTTTTGGGTCTTTCCATGTTAACTTACTTATCTTCTTTCCCTAATTGTGCTTTGAAATCCCTAAGAAATACTCTCTTTGTGACACTTCACTCATTCTTAGGATGCTCTCAGTTTTTTTTTAAATCTATTTGCAAACTTTGGAAAATTCGTTTTAGCAAGAAACCAAACCTAACTCGTCATGGTGATTCAGGTAATTCATTAATGATGTAATTATCATTCTCCACAAATCCATTCCTTTCCAATTTCTGTACTGCTAGCAGTTTTCTAAGCGTATTAGTTTCTGTAATATTTCAGTTAGCAGCAATGTTTTGAATTCCACAAATGTGTATTTATAAGCATATTAATTGGTTGACCTTTGAATTTTAAGGCTGGGTTTAACACTATATTAAAACAGTTATCACTAGTCTGCTCCACACCCAACTGTTCACCTGGGCCAAGACCCAATTGGCAGCTACTCCAGTTTTAGCACAAAAGGGTTGTCTTAAATAAAAATCCAATCCCTCAACCCTCATTACCCCCCCATTAATTGTGATATAGAGTACTAATTTCAGGTTTCTAACGAACATTTGCTCATTAGTTTTCTCACACCGATTACTGTAACTTACCTCACTATTTCTTGCATTAAGAAGTTTTAGTGATAAAATATTCAGATAATTTCTTTCAGTATTCTTTGAATCAAAAGTTAATCTAAATACAAAATTTTGCAGCAATCCAATTGTGACTAACCTCGACCAACAGAAAGCTGACAACATCCAACTCTGAACAAAGTCATAAAAGTTACAATAAAATGTATATTTAATAATGTAATCGACTATGGGGAAAAAAGGGTCCAAAACAAATTTTTTATATTCAATTTGATGTCGAAAGCGGACTTCTAATGCAACAATGCAGTGGACCACATGTCACCAAAATGCTACATCATTTGCATTCCTTTCTCATTAAAGGACAATTCAACACAAGCTTTATGAATTGAATTCCCTTCTCATCTTCAGCTTCCAACACATTTAGTTCACTTGTACTAAGTAAGCAACTTATTTAATCCAGGAGTTAATTAGAAATTATGAAAAATCAACATCAACAAAAATTTATTGAGTTATCTATTTACAATTTAAATTTTCACAGAAAATATAATTAAAATGGATGAATCAAAGGAACAAGGATACAAAAGGTTCAACATTAAAAAGTAAAATTTCATTCATAGAAGAGGGTTTATTATAATAAAAATTATCGGAGAACAATTGCCTCTTCTACGAGAACCATTTCGCGTTTACCGAGCCGACACAGAAACTTGCCAAACCCTGATCATATTGTCAGAGTAGCCAGCAAAAAGTGTCTGACCATCAGTTGACCAAGCCAAAGATAAGCACTGGGGTGGCTCTGCCTTGGAGGTAGAGGTAGATACAACTTCTGGGCGAAGTTCCTCAACCATATCCTTGCTTTCCAAATCCCAAATCTTAATGGAAGGCCCAAAAGCTGCACATAACCAGTACCGGTTTGGAGAGAAACATAATGCAGTGATTATATCATTGTGATCTAGGGTGTGCAGATGTTTGCCATCATTTAAGTCCCACAACATTGCCTTGCAATCCTGAAAAATTACAACCAATGAACACCTAATACATCCTATGAACATACAACAAATATATACATTAAAATCAGTCCCATATCCGCAATAGCTCACAAAATTCACAACAATTGTTATAGTCATCATAAAAAAAATTAACAGCAATACAAAACGAGAAACTTCCTTTACCTTGCCACCTGAAGCACACAAAGAGCCATCAGGAGATACAGTCACTGTATTCAAGTATCCAGTGTGACCAATGTGGTTGATTTTCAATCTACAATTGGCCAAATTCCATACCTTGGAAAGACATACATTCTTAATTAATCAGACCTATGTATAGATTACATCTAATTACATTGCTAATAAACTCTACAGAAATTGCTAAGCAAAAAGCACTTAAAAATATAAATTAAAATATCTCACCTTAACAACTTTGTCCCAACCAGCTGAAACAATGATGGGATTTGAATGGTTAGGGGAGAACCTGACACACGATACCCAATCACTGTGGCCATCATCCTGAAATTAATAAATAATAATGATGCTTGTTCTTCCCGTGATATACATATGCATTTGACAAGAAAAAAGATCAGACCCATATCCGTAGCTCATCCAGTATCGCAGTATAAAATATTCATCACAGGTACCTGGATATATTTTAAATACAAATATACAGTACTTACTTGAATGGTGTATTTACATTCCGCCAAGGTGTTCCATAACTTGATGGTTTTGTCTCGGCTGCCTGAGACAATTTGCCGATTATCAACAGAGAATGCAACACTCAATACATCCTGAAATTAATCAACAAATACATCAAAATCTTATTGCATTGGGAACACCTTTATACGAAGTACTTAATTACTGTAATCAGTGACCAACATAACTTTAAATATTTCTCTAAGTGAAAATTACTGCAATATTAGCACACACACAGTAGTTACCAGTGCAATAAATGTTTCATTTGAACTACTTAATTTCAATAATTAGATGTTTAGTTCTCCAGTAAATATAAAATCCTTTTTTCATACCACAAATAAGAATTTTCTCAATTTTTTCCTCCATCCAAATTTTGTTCGGATAATCCGAAAAATCAGATGTGGGATTGAGATTAGTGACATTGTAATGTAGTTAACACAAAAATTAAAGGAAAAAGCAATTTTGAAAACTATCAAAGAAGACAACCATTAAAACTTCTGCTTAGATTAATAAAGAAGTGTTGTGTGGAGTACTGCAGTGAGAATTTCTTCTGCTCCAATAAGAGTTGCACTCAAACTTTTTCATTTTTTACCAAGCTCCCATCACAAAGTATATTCAACGAGTGAAAATAATTGACATTTGTCTTCCATTTACTGTATAATTTCTGCTGGTTCAACTGTTTATTAAACTTGATTAACAATACATTCACCTGAAAATCTATGTTCACCTTCAAAATTAAATGAAACCTTCCCTATCTTGTCACCGTAGTTCAGTTGATACAGCACTAACTCTTAATTCAATTCCTGTTCCCCAGAATGCCATGGTTCAAATTCAAAAGGTTTTATACATTTTATCACAACAGACCACAGTCGGAGCATGCCATTGACCCGAAACTTTAAAACTCAATGCATTGAGAACACATGGTGGCATTGATGAAATTGAAATTACACAATAGGGTCTGAAAAATGCTGCTAGAAAGGACGATAGGTTTGCCACATACCACTATACCTTACACACTTAATTCCCATGTACATTCAACATTAACAAAAAAAAAAGAAATTTAACAAACTGCCTTACTACACTGAAAATAAGCAAATAAATCAGAACAATTAATCTTCCCGCTCCCATGATTTACAACAGATCGCAACCCACACCTTCAAATTTGCCAGTTCCAAGAAACCATGTGGGGTCTTCTCTTTTGTTTTTGCTTCTTGTGGCAAGACAGTTTCAGTTAGTACTTACGACACTGGGTCAACATCCAATTCTTCTAACTATAAAAAAAAAATTAAAAAAAAAAAGCTTCCGTATTTTTCTATTCTCCAGATTCATGCTGGGTCAAGCTACTCTTTATAACCGGGTGTTCAGTTGCCCATGCTTCACACCTTGGTATGATCTTCAAACCTCCTTGTAGTCTTGCCAGCAGCAAGGTCCCAAAGGCGAAGAGTTTTGTCCCAAGATCCAGAAAGAGCATAATTGCCATCAGAAGACAGCACAACATCACTTACGAAGTGCGAGTGACCATACAATCTTTTCTGAGGCACTCCATAATTTGTTTCATCCCTCGTCAACTTCCAAACAATTAAAGTTTTGTCTGAAAGAAAGGTTGAATAATACAATAATACAAACTAAAGAAAAGTTCCATGAACTACAAAGCTGGAGAAAACATCACAATATTTCGGCCATACCTCGTGAACAAGATAAAATCATTTCAGGATACTTCGGGTTTGTGGCAATTTGCGTAACCCATCCATTGTGACCACGTAAAGTGCCTCTTAGCTGTAATGTTTCCGACATCTCGAATTATTTACTTCACTTGCGAATGCGGATGAAGTTGGATAACCCTCACACAGCACGCGAGCACACCGCACCACCAAGCAACCAGCTCGCCACGGCGTCCACGAACAGAAAAGAACACTGCGGCTACGGGGCGGATGCGGAAACCGAAGTTCGAGATCTCGTGCAGTCTCGCGGTCCATTTGTATCGACTTGGGTCTCTAGAAATATCGATACGTTCCGAATGCTTCGCGCGCAATTTAACTGCTGTTACTAGTAATGAACTTCCGCGACAATCCGTAAATATTTCAACAGAATAATATTAGAGAAGTTGAAACTTTTGTAGATTAAGAATGTTCCATTGGGTAATAGGTTAGACAAAATACTACTTGCAAGATAAACGTAATGTATATTTTCATATTACGAAAATAATAGTACTTTGGCAGTCTTGACATACTATAAAAAACACTTGCATTCAGCGATATTCAATTATATAAAGAAAAACAATCTTGACAAACATACTTTGTGATAGTAATCAGAATGTCACTTCATAACAAGTTCTCTTCTTGTAATATCACAAGAGGAAAAAATTAGTAAATTTATAAGCACCCATAGTACACAATTATCCATCTCTACAATATATGAAATATTGAAACAAAACATTTTTCCACAATAAACATTAATATTAATACTGATCATAATTGCCCAACAAAAAGTATCACAAGCATTTGTTGAGCATGTTTTGGTAACTTCATATAGCACTTTTTCAATTAAAGAACTGAAATGTCTAATTGCAGCAAAATATATTAAAATAAAACACCAACATCAGACATAATAACTTCTGCACAATGGTCAAATGTTTGTGTGGCAATTTGTGGTTCAGCTGCAACACATGAAAATATATTAAACAGTGGTAGTGTTTACCACTTGCCAGGCTCTTATATTGTTATCTGAGTAGCCAGCAAACAGTGTCTGACCATCTCCTGACCAAGCCAAGGATAAGCACTGAGGTGGTTCAGTATTAGCACCTGAATATTGCCCAACTACTTCTGGGCATAATTCATCAACAACCAATTTCCCTTCTAAATCCTGTAAAGAAAAATAAAATGGGTTAAATTACGAGCAAACTTAATGTTTAAATATTAATAAAAAAAATGTTCAAATATTTTTTATATTAAATAAAAATGAAATTCTCACCCAAATTTTTATGGAAGGCCCAGTGGCAGCACACAGCCAGTACCTATTTGGAGAAAAACATAAGGCATTGATGATACTTTTGTGTTCAAGAGTATACAGATGTTTTTCTTCATTTAGATCCCACAACATTACAGTCCAATCCTACAAGAAAATCATTTTACAGTTTAAGTAAAAAATTGATACATTAAATAATAATTATAAATAGATATATTGGGAAACAGGAACATCTATACCTTTCCCCCTGATGCACACAAAGATCCATCCGGGGAAATTGTAACAGAATTGAGATACCCAGTATGGCCAGAATGATCAGTTCTAATCTTGCAGTTTGTCAGGCTCCAAACCTACAACATAAACATTATTACACTATCTCAGAGTACAACACTTTCCATTTTAGAGTAGTGTTTAATTACCTTCACTCTCTTGTCCCATCCGCTGGAAACTATAATAGGATTCTGAAGGTTTGGTGAAAAACGAACACAAGACACCCAATCTGTATGCCCATCATCCTGAAGATAAAGTTTAAACATTAATGTCCCAATTTCTTGAACATAAGGAAAGACAGTAATACCTGGTTCCTACCTGCATGGTGTATTTACAGTGGGCTAATGTATTCCATAATTTAATTGTTTTATCTCTACTGCCTGACACTATTTGCCTATTATCTGCCGAAAAGGCAACACTCAAGACATCCTGCAGACAATTTAAAGTCCAACAATCATATATAAAGTGCAGCATATGGTCATGTTGCTTAGCAGCAACAAATCTTTGGTTGAAGCAGAATTAAATAGTGAAATAAGTAGCAAACCTTTGTGTGGTCAACAAATCGACGTGTGCTAACTCCTTTTGACAAGTCCCACAACCGTAACGTCTTGTCCCAGGAACCCGACAGAGCAAAATGTCCATCAGAGGAAACAACTATATCACTAACGAAATGGTTGTGCCCTTGTAATCTTTTTTGCGGTACACCAAAGTTTCCTTCATCTCTCACGAGTTTCCACAAAATTAGGGTACGATCTGCAAATGATATGGCAAAACCAAAAATAGCGACCCATGCGGCTCATCATGTCAGCCCGAATCGCGTTACCGGACAGAGCGGAGGGGCTGGCGCAGCTACTTGCGGGGCAAGTAGAACTTTTATAAATATTTCAAGTAAGATACAGAAGCAAATAGTTCAAGTATTAGCAGTTAACATATGTCATGGTAATAACACAAAGAAATATGCATAAATTTGGGACAAAACGTACGTCATCCAGAGATCAGAGCTGTCATATGGATGTAATATTGCCCACGTACCTCGTGATGATGATAAAAGCATGTCTGGATATTTGGGGTTTGTAGCTACTTGAGTAACCCAGCCATTATGACCTCTTAAAGTACCGCGCAACAATAAAGATTCAGACATTATCCCACTTTCCCGAAAGCATCTAAACTGCTGACCACACCTCTTCGATTTACTTTCAGAATTCCCTCTGCAGTCAGTTTTATAACCTCAATATGCCGCGTGGTGGCGCTAGCTGCATCGTAATGTAAAACCTAGCAAAGACGTTCGTTCGCATCTCTTTGAATGATTTGAAATCCACCCGTGAGTTGTGTTTGTACTCCGTTTGCAGCTTAATTTTTTTGAGTAATCGTCCTCTTAATACTTACCATTCAGTACGCATAGATTTTTTTACATATATAAATATTGAACCCTAGGGCGTAAATCTGGGAAGAATCGACTTGATTCACCGCTACGTCACAGAAGAAAGAGGCATATCTTCGAAGTACAGTGCTATTTCATCACGTAACATTAATTATTGAATTCAGTCTCATCCAACGGTTAGTGAAATCTCAATTTCGCCATTTCTGTTATGAAGAAAGAATAATTTTAAGAATTTAGAACTAAGCTACAGACGATTTTTTTTTCAATGAACTAAAGGACAGGTGCCTCAGTAGTAAGCAAGCATCACGTTGTGACGTCACGTATCTATTGAGAACGGCCATTTTGACTAATACTGTCGCGGAGTTGTGAGGATTGTGTGTATCATATAAATATCGTGTGCTTTCATGTGTGATTAGTACTATTTGCATCGTTGAGTGTGCAATAATTGTATAATCATATATTTGTGTAGGGCGTCGGCATGGAAGAAAAGGCGTCTCTGAAAGAGTTAGACCAGTGGATAGAACAGTTAAATGAATGCAAACAATTGACAGAAAGTCAAGTAAAAACGTTATGCGACAAGGTAAGAAAATGTAGAAAGATTTATGTTGTATGCCCACTTTGATCGAGTTAAAGGATTCTAATGCGTGTTTAGATTAAATTCTCAAGTAATTGTGATCAAACAAGAACTAAAAATGTCACGTTCGGGTGTATTTCAGAATAGAGCAAATTATGATATGTAGAAAAACTCAATTTTCTATTTATTTATAATTGTAGTTTATTTCATTGTGACGTTCCAGTAAATTCGAATATTCTGTTCACTTTCAGGCAAAAGAAATTTTAGCCAAAGAATCTAATGTTCAAGAAGTTAAATGTCCTGTAACAGTATGTGGAGATGTTCATGGGCAGTTTCACGATCTTATGGAATTGTTCAGAATAGGTGGCAGATCTCCTGACACCAATTACCTTTTTATGGGTGATTATGTGGATCGTGGTTACTATTCAGTTGAGACTGTTACTCTATTAGTTGCTCTAAAGGTAAGTACATTTGCTACATAATTTTAGTATTACCTTCAATAATTTTCCAATGTTTTTAATTGTATTTTTGTTCAGGTTCGATATCGGGAAAGAATAACTATTTTACGAGGGAATCATGAATCGAGGCAAATTACTCAAGTGTATGGATTTTATGACGAGTGTCTTCGTAAATATGGAAATGCCAATGTTTGGAAATACTTCACAGACCTTTTTGACTATTTGCCACTTACAGCTCTAGTAGATGGTCAAATATTTTGTCTGCATGGTGGTTTATCTCCATCTATTGACACATTAGATCATATTCGTGCTTTGGATCGTCTTCAGGAAGTACCTCACGAGGTTAGTATTTAATAGAATTTTTTTTTATTAGTGTTTTATGTTCTTAAAATTAATGTACTTCATTTGTTTACACTGAGAATACATGGGACATTAAAAAAGTATCTTCAGTGATGGTGGGGGAAATTTTGTTAAGAATTGGTAGATATTAAGCCATAAATATATTAGTTCTTTTGACTTGAAATTAGTTTATAGGTTGTAAAATCATTTATTCTGGGAATAAACTTTAAAATACAGAAGCTTGAAATGTTTTTCATAGAAGTAAAATGTGTTAATATTTTGTTTATTTATTTACAAATAGCTTATGGCTAATTTTAATATCAACATCCCTTTTGCTAAAACAGCCTAACTGCATAGACATAATAATTATTAACAAAATAATTTCTACAATTTTTAACACCTTTTTTAAGTTCAAAAAACAAAATCAATATAATAAGTTATAATTCTTTAACATTACAAAGTATTCTAATGCTAATTTTCCTGTTCAATACTTTCCAACCAAACAGCTGATTTTTCTCTAAATTTTCCAACTGACCCAGATTCCTGTTTTTTGGGGGGGGGGGTAATTCAATAATCATTTTTTCTTACTAAACAATCCAAATATTCTGGTAATAGTTAATTTTCTAATCTACAAATAAATGTTAGTACATCTCTTTACTTCCTATTCCACTGATAAATATCCTAATTCTATTTTCATATTGCTAACATTTTTATTACGGCTCTCATTCCATTTCTTAACATATTGTTATGCATTGAAGGATGATTACTAGCTAGATATAATGAATAGCTGGATGTGGGTAATTTTTCTTTAGTGTGTTGAACACTTCAATTACTTAAGACATTTGCTAAGTACACAGAGGACTGCGCTCAGTAATGAGCTTGGGTTGCAGCAACATGTGGAACATGTAACAATCTGCAGGTTTATGATACCATGTTGTATTTTTGTTTGCAGGGTCCAATGTGTGATCTGTTGTGGTCAGATCCTGATGATAGGGGAGGTTGGGGTATATCTCCTCGTGGTGCTGGGTACACATTTGGGCAAGACATTTCAGAAACGTTTAACCATTCAAATGGACTTACTTTAGTTTCAAGGGCTCACCAACTTGTAATGGAGGGCTATAATTGGTAAGTGATTTCCATGAACTAATGCTAGTCACAGTCATTCACTTTCAAACTTTATAATGTTGCTCTTGGAGTAATGTTACTGACACTAGATTACGTTTGTTCAGGTGTCATGATCGTAACGTTGTGACCATCTTTTCTGCACCCAACTATTGTTATCGTTGTGGAAACCAAGCAGCCATCATGGAATTAGATGATGCTTTGAAATACTCATTGTAAGTATAGTTTTTGAATTATTTCATGTTCTAGCTTGCATTACTCAATTTGAAATTTTTTATGCATTAATGAGTTTCAAATTTTTCTCTAGTTAATATTGAAAGAATATCCTGGATATGATGAAACATAAAGAATTTGTGAAAGAGACATTGTGGCCTAAGAAACTGTTAAAAAGGGGAAGGGGAATAGTTGATTATCATGTTGTTTTTAAGGATCCATTTGTGATAGTAGCCAATATTTTGAGTAATCTCGTTGAACATTTTTACCAGTTGTAACACTGGGAAGACAACTGTAATTCTTTATGCACATATTAATGAACTCACAACTCCCTTACATGGCCTGTAAAATCATGATTGTTTTACTCTCAGTATTCCAAGTGCTTAGTAAATATATGATTCGGTATAATACAAAACCTTGGGATTGATTTGTGAAAAACTACAAATAGGTGCCTAAATACTGAACATCATACCAATTGGTGATCCAGGATTTATGATATCCATGGCAATACCCCAGTATCTGAAGAGTCAGAAACTCATTCTAATAACATTCAGTAGTGGTTCGTAGTTAAAATGGCACTACACCATTGAATTTCGTCTTTAAACCGAATTATTGTCTAAAACTTGATTTTATTTCTTTGCTATAAACATCGGTAAATCTTTCGTTTTTTTTTCTTTTCTGGTATGACTTGTAACTATTTTAGTGAAGTTGTAAAGAACGAGTAAGACATAGTCCTAACTTTGAGATGATGAGTCATAATTTCCAAATTCATAGGTAATATTTTGAAAATATCAGTTTTTAGTGGCAATAGTAAATTTCATTATCAATCCTAAAAGGAGTATGTGACAGGCTTATTTCCTGTTGATATGTAATTATTTCATTGAATCGTTCATTACTAGAAATTTATGTTATTTATTATATCTGTTAAATATTAGAGAATAATAATAATGAAATCAATTAGTGTTTAAAACTGTTAATTTGTATTTTATTACTGCTCAAGTTTAAAAACTCCTTGGTTCTTTCTGAACTCTTTATATGGTTTTATTAGATATCTGGCACCTGAATAATTCATCTATTACAGTATTATGTTTGTTTCATTAAAATTAATAGAGTAGGGATGCTTGTGAACACAAGAAGCATCAGACACGCTTTCCATTTGAAGTCATTGGGAATTCCAAAGACAAGAATTAGTAGACTATTTCAAACTATGTTACAGAATGGGTTGTTACGGCAGGTGTAATATTTTAAAAGTAAAGAAGTTCAATTTTGGATTAAAAAAATTAATTTTATCCTTAAAGACATTCCATAACTTGTTCTATGCAATCCTTTCAGATCTCTACTTCATGTGTCTTACCTTGTGCATTTGCTTTAGATGCTTTTTGAATTTAGATTTTTTTCAACTCCTATTAAATTTTAGTATTTCTGTCCTATTAAATTTGTCTTGTACAGATGGGATGTTTGTAAGGCACTTGACTAAGATTTGTTATAATCGAAATTATAATTAAAATCAAATAAGGAAACACTACAATTTGTTATAAATTATGCAAGGTTTTAGTGAAATAATTTTGATACTCTGGTTTTATTCATTCATAAAAGGTGTAATTTCCTATGCACATCATAGCTTTTTCTGGCAAAAATAGCACTAACTTGGGCAGAGTGTTTTTAAATTGCTTGTATTGCTAAGATAACAACCTCCTTCAGGAAAAAACGTTTGCATGTAACCAACACTTTAAAGGAGAAAGAAAAAAGAGAATATATTAGACATGTTCTAATCTCAAAGTGAAAATGACAATTTTTTTTTTTAATATATCGAATACAAATTTTTAAGTGAATATTAAGAGGACGCTCTCTGGCCATGAATACTATTAAAATATTTTCTTTTTAATCAAGCTGGTGTTCTGCCTGTGATTAAATAGGATCTTTCTTTGAATCCAGTTTAAATACATTGTGTGGATAGAGAAATCGTAATAATTTCAAGGAATCTCTTGAAATACAAGAAATCAGAAATTTAAATTTTAAAATTCATGTTAGTCCATACAATTAAGTTTCTCTTTCCGAGTTAGGATTTAAAGAAAAATATTTGATGTGAAGCTCATGATGATAACGATGACAATAACTATATTTTTAACTCTGGCTAATATTGGATTTACTATTGACATTCTAATTTGATTGTACATAAGGGGAAATGAAGGGGTTAAGTGAACTCGGGTAAAAGCAAAGTTGATGTATATCCAGACCATCCCAAGTTGTAAACACTTCCTGTTAAATGTTCCTAAAAATTTAGGAAGTCTGTACTGTATTCGAAGCAATGTTTTGGGGCGGTTTACTACATTGGCTTGGACATTTTATATTAGGTATATGAAATTAGGGTTATCCTACTGCCGTGTCCTCTTTAACCCTAAAATCACAAGGCTGGGGTCACCTGTGACCCCAAAGTAATCTTATTATGTTTAAATGGGGACAGCTTCAAATCATGCTGCCATCAGTTCCTTGAATTTTCCATTCCAGTTTTTCTGTCTCTATCATGACAGTCGACTTGCGTATGTTTTCACCTTGCATCATTTTACAACAACTAATATACAGTAAAACGTAATTGGGGTTATATTTGACCCTACCTTGTAATTAATGTCGCAAATTTTTCTAACTTGGTTGTATGCTTATGTTGATGGTTTTCGGTTATTTTCTGTTAGAATGGTAAAGAATCTAACATACGTTACCCATCTGTAAGAATTTCTTGGAACGTTGAGTTTTATTTATTCTTTGATCCTTGCAGTTTATGCCAGTTTCTTTGCAGTTCAAAAGTCAGATTAGCTTCATTTGTAATTTTCTAATAAATTTGTTAGATATGTAATTTTGTATCAAGCTTTCAACAGTCTTCTTAGTGAATATATTTTGTATGCTAACAGCACCAAGTATAACTTATAGGCTTATCTGTATGTATAGTAAACTTGTTTGCATGTTGATTGGTTTAATAGTTTATAGAGTTAGTTCTATAGATAATTGTATGATGAATAAAAGAACTTTCTTGTCACTGATACACATTTTTCTTTGTTCATTGTTGAATATTAAATTGAAAGAAAGAATATATAAAAGAGATCGGGGTCATCAGCGATCCCGCCTTGTAATTAGTATTCGTTGAAATGAGCCTTATGAATCCAGGGTTAGATATTAGTTTTATTGGGTTTTGCGAAATGGGGGGGGGGGGGAATTCCTTTTCAGAGGACCCAGACTGCTTCAGTTCATAATGCATTTGGTTTTTATTTCCAGCCTACAGTTTGACCCAGCACCTCGTCGTGGCGAGCCACATGTCACTCGACGCACACCCGACTACTTCCTGTAGGCAGCCCCTGCAGAAAGGCAGAGCAGATCACGTTGCCACCCTGCCAGTCCTGCTAGCAAGCCCTCCCTTAAAAAAGGAAATAAATGTGTTGCTCTGTACCTTGAGTTGAGTGGAACACCTCATGTTTTTGGAGCTGGTGTTTTGCAGAATACAATACAAGTATTCAGATGGCAATGGAATCTCCTTATTATGAAATTCATAAATGAGGCTTGGCACTTTTTTTTTTTTCTTTCTATTTTTTTTTAATTTTTTTAGTTATATCCGATATTGTTGGGTCTTTGGAGCATTTCACGAACATTTCTATCTACTCTTTTGAGATTGGTTTATTTGTCTTTTGTGCAACTTTTCTGCATTGAATTTTATAATAATGAGATTTTGTTCTGTATTGCAGCATTTGGCTATTCAATAAAAAGTATTCAAGTAAAGCTCAGAGACATTCTGTCGCAGTAGACTTGAATGTGAAACACTAGGTACTCCCTGCAATCCCTATACAAATGTTGCGCCACTTACTGAATGTATGATACACACAACTTGTCTGCTCCCTTGATTTGCAAGGGCTTTTCTCTGTAGCATTTGTAGATTTTAAATTTATTAAATCGAAAATATTAAAAGGCGTGCTTTGTCTGGGTGAAAAACTACATGCTGTCTTCAGCTCTTATGAAATTATGCTAAGGCAGTCAAAACTGTGTCCTTATCTTGTAATGTGCGGTTGTTTAGAGTTGTTTTTGTGATGTATAGACACATGTGCTGCATTTCAACACTTGTCCAATTAAATTGGCACACCAGTTTTAATTTTAATTATAATTATTTTACTCTTTTCCGCCAGTCAATAGGTGTAGCCAATTTCTGTTGCACAGGTATATATGCTGTAACTTTTTTTTTTTCTTTTCTACCAATCTTTCCATGTTCTCAATGTTGTATGATATTCTACCAAACATGTTATATGCAGTATCTATTGAATTAGTTTACTAGATAACTTTAACATGTCTTTTTTTTTAAGAACTTAATTGAATAGTGAAAATAAAGATATTGTATATGGAGAAGTATTTTTTACTTGTCCTATGTTTTATCCTGATTTGTTGCACATAAATGTAAGATTTGATTTGCATAATGATTGGAAAACTGGTTCTTTGTTCTACCTGCATTTTAGTAAGGGCTCCTTTCGATTGTTTGAAGTTCCTACTTGGAATACTGCCACTGGTATTTAAGTAATGTACTGCTCTTTGAATATAAAGCTTTATTACAGTTTGCTTACATTAAAGAATTTGTAAATGAATATAAAAGACTAACAGTAGTGAAGAATGAAAGGAGCTTGGTCTTATTGTAGGAATTTAAATTGACTTTTCAGGAAGTGTTGGATTATACTTGTGTATATATATAAAGCTTGTTTGAATGTGTGATTGAAAGACTTGAGCATATGAATAATAAAATCTGAATATGCTAAGTACAAATGGACTTCAATTTTTTTAATTTGCCTTTTTAAAAACTAAGGTACATGGAAAGGGAGAAGTAAGCAAAAAATCTGGGTTTCAAGAAAGATTTATTTCGTGCATAAAGTGAACAAAACCTTTTTCATTTCCTTGTATAATACAAACATAATTTACATTGTTGAAAGAAATGGCACATCTAAAAAAATAGTTCCATCTTTTAAAATGTAATTTCTAGAGAATTGTTTCCTTCGTGAAACTTCTAAACATTAACAATATAGTACATTGAATTTTAACAGTAGCCCATGGGTCAGGCATTCAGATGTGTTCAACAACAAAAACTTGCACTGCATCACTTCAATCTTCTGTCAAAGTCTATGATATTTACAAGAGAATTAATGAACTTGGTTTTGGAGTCTTCAAGTCTGTTGCATGCTTCCTGATTGAAAAATGGCTGCCCTTTGCTTGAACATTGCTCTGCGCTGGGCTTTTTCTTCCTCTTCTCTTTTCCTTTGCTCTTGCTCTTGTCGAATCTCATCTTCGAATTTGCTAGTTTTACGTAGCTCTTCAATCTGTAAGAAATAAGAAAGATTCCAAATAATTAATGTTCACTAGTAATGTTGCAGTGTTATAAGAAAAGAATGCAGGATCAAATTTGGCTGAAAAAGGAAAGTTTGCAGAAGGAAGTTTTGTTAGAAAGATTTTAACATTGCCCATGTTGCTGTGACATCAGAATTAGTATACAATACAGACTATATGTAATCACAATTAAAGTGCATAGTGTGTGCGCGCTCGCACACAAGTTTGTTCGTTCACACTCTTTTTACAAGTTCTGAACTGGTTGAGTGATTGTTCTCAAATCTTCTACAATCGCTTCTGAGCAGCCAAGAAAAAAAAGCTTTTGTGGCCCCAAAACATTACCAAAATTGGTTAAATCATGACATTTGTGTTACTAGAAACCTTCAGTGCTGCTGGCCAAGGTGATACAGGCAGAGCAAAAATAAATACCTGAACAATGTCAAGGTAAATGTGTTGATAGAAATGTTCAATAAGGGAAATGGAGCAGAAGTTGATTCTTATTAGTGCAAAACAATGTACTTTTAATAATCCCTCAATATACTTGTTTGCACATAAATAGTAATGTATAACAAGTCTAGCCACAGTATATGTATGCTATGACTTCAAACAGTTTGCAAAAATTCATCACAAAACAATAGTGTATGAGTTATGTAATTTTTGAAAATTCACAACTTGGTTAATTGGACTTGTGTTTCAAAATTCAATCTATTGTGTTGAGAAAAATCAGTACACCTGAGAAATTTGTTATGCTTTTGACTGAAAATTATATGGAACCCATTTTGGAAAATCTAGATTTAAAATTATTTACATCTAATATTTAATAATAGATTGCATTATGAAAGAAATTTTCTGCTTCTGAAAAAGTATGTAATTAACATTTTTTTAAAAATCACATGTGCCATAAGTGCACTGTTCTCTACTGAAGTAAGAAATAGGAGTAATTTTTGAAAAGTTAGAAAATGTTTTTCAGGTTTAATGTAAAATAATTCAAAAAAATAAAAGTTCACAGAATTTTCAGTTCATACTGGCAGATTGTCAAGAACCCTGGAAAGTACACCTCCCCCCTCTTCTCACATACATACAAAGGCATGTCTCTCAAAAATACACATGTTAAAATTTGTTACATGTAAATTTAGGATGTTAATGTACAATATGCAACTGATATTCTTTTGAGATGTCTGAAAATCTGTTTCATGATCAATAAAGTTTCCTTAAATTATCCTGAGTTGATTTACTTTGTTCACTTGATTTTGTTGTGCTTGAGGTAAGTATTCATGAAAACCAGTTTTAATAGATAAATCAATGTACTAAATGGTGATCCAGCATTTGCATTGAATATGACAAAAAACAGCAGTTTTTGAGTTGCTTCTAGAATTAATTGTAAGAAATATTACTTGATCAGTGATCAAAAGTGTAGATCAAATTCCTTGGCCATCAAAGGACAGTTGAGTTACCTCTTACCTTGAAATCCAATTCAAGAACATGATTCTAAGTGTAAGATCATGTTTATTGAAAGTTGTCAGTTTGTTCCAAGAGTATATGTTAACCATATTGTTCTTAAATGTTAACAAAGTGAAATGCAGAATAATGAAAACTTCCAATGAGTCTGAATTCAGTGTTAAAAACTGTCAAATTAACAGTGAAGAGAGTTTAATGGATTTTGTTGGGTTTAATTTATTACAATTGTGGGATCCCTTACCAGATGTTCAAATTATGTTTGATAAATTTCAATGTAATTATAACCTCTGTACCCAATAAATAGATAAAGTTGTTGTAAATAGATTGTCAAACACTGTTAGTATGAGATTAATGAGCTAATTTCAGGTTGTTTGTTTTTTCCAATTTTCCCCCCTTTCTTTCTCGTAAGAGCCATCAGCCAAAAATAAAACTGATGGTGAAATTTTAATTTTGAAATACAACAATCTAATTGTTTCTATTTTTAAAAAATTCAATTAGGATTATATAAATCTAGCATTGACAATGCATATTTGGTCCATTTTCCAAATTAACATACAATTTGACACTCGCCTTCACATCTGGAAGAAACAATATTGTAATCGTGCGCCGAAATACGGCGAATTTTCGACAAAAAATAATATTTCCAATCCGCCAACCTTAATTGAAATTAACCCAATTACTTGGTCTCTTAGAAGTACGATTCAAATTTATGAAAGAAAATTTGGAAAAATTAAGTTGCATAATTTTGTAGGATAATTTGATATTACCACCGTACGTGGTATTGGCGCTGTTCTATGGCAGTTTGAAAAGTTATTTTGAGAATTTCATTGTTGGACGGCGACATGAACGGGATAAGATAACGCGGTACTTTTTACGTTATGTTAATGTTACTATGTCTCTAAGTTATAAAATGATATATCCAATTTTATTAAAGTCGGGAAGTTTATATACACAGATATGCATAAGATGGATATCTTAGTTTCGTTTGCAATTATAAGGCGATATTGCATGGCCATTACTTCTGGATGTTCAATCAGAAATAGTCCTGAAGTGCTGAAAATAATGCGGTTATTAACAAATAATACGAGAAAGTATATAATGTTGAAGCTCTAGTTTTCATTTACGAAAACACGATTATGATAAAAATTTGTATCTTTATGCTGGGAACACATTGAAGTTAACTGAATGTAATTTTTACCCACTGTGTTCATTTTCCGAGTTTTCATTTTAATATGAATGAATAAACCTATATAAAGTTAAACTAGTGGTGTAAAAGAATTGCACAGACTTTCCCGTTTTTTATTTCCTTTGGTCTCTGCTAGCTATTCGGACTTGCCACGTACTCTTATCAGCTATCTATTGACGCACAAAGAATATTTTCTTAATTTTTTTGTTTTTCTAATAGAACGAAAAAATTATTATAAGTTTTATTAAAAACAGTAAACTTTGTCCTAATGGCAAATTTCTTTGAAACGTTTGGAGCAGTTTGTAACAAAATAGCGTTTAAGCGCTACCCAGAATTCGAAATTCGAAGCTTTTTTTTTCTTCCTTTCTTCCTTTTTTCTTTTTATTTTATTTTCTTTTTTTTTAGAAAAGTTTTGAGTTTTATAAAATATTCATTAGACGTCATATCAAGTACATTAACTTACAAACACAATAGTGTTTACAAAATTGCTGGAAATTTGTTTATTATTGATGCGAGATCTTTAAAAAAAAATTGTATAATTTGCGAAAGAAAAGAACTGAATCATATTAACGAGTACAATTAGCACTATCCGTTCCAAAAGATTGAAGAAAAAAATTGGACTTATTTATGAGGAAATTGTTTTTGAGCTTTTCTGAAATTTTCAGCAGGGTTTTCACATATGACATTATTTAAATCACATGTACTCATAAATATAATAGTGTGAATTAATGTAAAATAGGCAAGTCAAAAAGTTACACGTCTGTAATTATTGAAGAACAAAAGAATAGAGCAAACTGACGTTCACGTCATCTCAGAGTACATTTAGCACTATCCCTACTAAAAGTTTAAAGAAACAATTTGTAGCAGTTTATGAGAAACCTTTTTTTGCTTATTTTTTAACTTTTTGAAAATGTTATTTGCGCGAAAACTACCAAAATTTTCGAACTAAAAAAGGGCATTTTCTTAATGAAAGAACTGACTATAGAGGACAAATTTTATTTGAAGGAAATATCTTTTATCTTCAATTTTGTAGTTAGACGCCCTGGAGAAAATTCAAACGTTTGCAATTTTCGAAAATTCAGAGTTAACCATGAAAATCTGACCTGTGTCACCTTTACAAATGTATTTTACTCTATTCTTACAAGAAATTTAAAGAACAAATTTGGAGCCGGTTTTGAGAAATTTTTGAAAATATCCGGGGTGGTTTCATGTTAAGTACCCCCAAATTTTGAAGACAATTTTTGAAAATCACGGGGTCTCAAGTGGAGCCAAATCAACAGGGGAATATCTAGTTTCGAAAAAAATGTACCTATATTTAGGCGCTAGTGGTGTTCACGCACGGACGGACGGACGGCAGAGCACCTTCGCGCAAAGACGCACATACGTCGAAAATTGCAAAGACCTATATAGGTCGAAAATCGCATAGACCTACACCTTTCCACATTTGCCCTTGGTATTCTATGGCACAATCTCGGTACTTGGCCCTTTGTTTTTGGTATAGGGATCCACTTCCTCAATTCAACACAGATTGCACATAGTTGCCCATCAGGCCGGAAGATTATTTAAGGATTATGGTATTGATGTAATTATGCAAAGAAATGGGAAAATCTCTTATCTTCGTAGTTGTAGTTATAAGAAGATGCCAAAAAACTTTAAATTATTGCCATTTTCGAAAATTCAATGAACCTATGACCTGCACCAATTAGTCAAACGTCTTCCACACTATCGAACAACAAAATTTAATTCAAATGCAAGGGACCGCGTTACCATCCAGATCGATTGCATTTCGAAGAAAAACTGTTTAGTCGATAGTGTTGTTAACAGACGGACAGACGTTTTGCCGTCTTTCAATTTTTCGGTATCAAGGAACCGCAAAACATGGACTAACTCTAAAACTGCCTACACCATTTGTTAGAGGACTTTCCCTCCTAAATTTAACAAGGGGATTTATTCCCTTGTTCGTTTTCAGGGCCCTGCAATAAGTGTCCCCCTGCCTTTTTTAAAAAAAATCGCCGTTTCTTTACGCAGCATTACATAACTCTCTCTTTCTCTCTACTCCGTAGCGAGAACGTAAAAACAAAGGTATAGAAGGTTTGCAACAGTTATACTATCAAATACTACAGAATACTGACATTTCTGTCTTGAACATGAAAATGTTAGAACACCAAACAAAGATATACTTCACCTTTGCTTCAAAGAAATTTTTGGCCCCCTCCACTCCGACTTCTTCTACGTTTATCTCCGTGAGGGCTGCTAACTGACTCAGTCCACTGTCTTCCGTTAATTCACCAGCGCGTGCCTTGCGGTAGATAAGAAGAAACTGAAACATTTTTTTTTGTTGTATTAACAAGGAATACTGAATTTGCAAACACGTGTAAGAAGTTAAGAACATAAGCTTGTTTGTGTTGTATGTGTTTTTTTTTGTCTCTCCTGAAACTAGTCGACGAAATTATGTGCGCGAATTTAAGGATGTGTTGGTGTCCAGACACTGATGACATAATTTTTTTAAACCACGTACGTCTAGATCGAGTACCTAACGTATGCATGAAATCAAATTCTTTGTTGTGTATATCTAATCACTAGTGTATTCATTTCCATTAAAAGTACATAAATATTTAAGTGAACAATCCAAATCTTCAATTTTTAACAACTAAAAAATATTACTTAGTACTGTAAGCACACTATAACACCCCACACTGTAATTTGAACTGCACTGGACAAAATAATTCAACAAAATTATAGGTACTTACCTCTCGAAAACTGATCTTATCATCCCCATCTTCATCAACTTCTTTGATCATCGCTTTCAAGCCAAGATGAGTCTGTGGCGCCCCCAGCTTTTCCATCATTCGTTTCAGCTCCCCGATGCAGAGGTACCCATCTTTTCCTTCATCGTATCTAAAAAAGAGAATTGTTTAGATTTAAATTTATTCAGTTAAATAAAACAGTAAAAGTGTATGTGGCATAGGGGGAAAATAATATCTGCGCACGTTTTCTTGAGTTCCAGAATCCCTTCCCGTCATTTGAACTATAAATAGTTGAAAGATGAGTAACAGTTTAACATAAAAAAATTTAAAAAAAATTTAAAAATCGCAAGATTAGCAATATTTGAAAAATAGTCATTTTCGTTCGAGTTAGGGAAAACTTCTTTGCATCGGTACACGAATTGCAAGTATGATTTTTCTGCATTGCTTACAAAAATAGCAACTCGCCCTTACCTCTACCCTTACGATTACAAGCAAAAGGAGAGTTCAACAAAACGTGCGCATAGTGAAGCTACATTTACAAGCTGTGAACGCATAGTAAAGCTACATTTGTTATTTTATTATTCCATAAAAATATTGTTCTGAAGTTGCGGAAAGAACAAAGTTTCAAATCTTGCAATGATGTGCAACAAATTTGCCAAATGAACCAATGAATATTCATATCTTTAAAATAAAAACTAATGTATAACAAAGCCAATGAATGGAAATAATTGAAGAAAAAGTAAAATATGGATGTATAGAGAATTTTGTGACAAAGTCATTCAACTTTCACTCACCAGCGAAGCGCAACGAGGGCCGAACGCAAGTTTAGTGTAACAAACGTGGATGAACGGAAGGTAGAAAGAAAAAAGAATCATTTCCGTTGAAATCTCGAAAATATATAACTTCCTCCGTACAACATATACAATAAATAATAATAATAGTAATAATAATAATTATTATTATAACTGGGGTCATATCACAAAATATTTGCTATTACACCACTGTAGAAACAAGAAAAGAGTAAAATATTGGGATTAACACGTATTATCGGTTAGTAGAGAGATTTATAGCATAGAAAGCAATAAATTCAACGAATTCGGTAAAATCTTAAGTACAAGAATACCATTATGTGGTTAGTAGAGAGGTGGAAACTGAAATTGTCTCTACTTGCAGAGGTCGCTTCGGTGTAAACGTCGACAGTGCCATAATAGAAGTCAGTGCGGTTATAAATTTGGAAAAAAGTCCAATTTATAATAAAACCTGTTTTTTTAAAAATAGGAAACAACTTTTCGAACCTACCTTCACCATTATTGAAGTTACATACTTCTTTCGTAGCGAAATCTATTCTACAATAATAAATATTAATTTATTGTATGTATTTTTTTGCAATTTCGAAAGTTTTTCCTAATTGAATCGAGTATTAACAATTTTCCACAAATACATAAACATTTTTTCAGAAACGGATCCACTTTGTCTTTCAACTTTTGGCAGGATAGAATCCAATACACCATCAAATGACATAAGAACCATCCTGATTATAACTTTACATGTTTAAGTTCTGAAACATAAATGCTTTTGGAGTATCTAGCAGGTAATCAATACTTGTATACATGTGTATTATGCACTTACAAGCATGTGTGTTCAAATGTGTACAAATGCTTCAAATGATATCTGATTAAATATCTCGAAATGCTTTGAGATTTTCGAAATGGCGTTATTTCAGAAATTCTAAAACTACGTATTCTGAAGAAATGGTTCCGAATGTGTTCTTGAAAACTCTTACAAGAAAAGACACTTCACTACGATATTCTAAAAGTACCAGGAATTGGCAGAACGGACAATTGAGAAAATAAGAAAAACATTTTGAAATTGAGAAAATCATTTTTTGAATAACACAATATTTACTCTACAAATATTGGAGGGAGGAAGAAAATCGTGCTCATTGTGTGGATATTTTATTATTACTCGTATATTCTACTATATTTCCTTAGACGTTATAACCCACGAATCTTTTTAAATGGTTATTCTCACTTGTAAGGGATTAAACAGAAGTTAACGGTATACAAGGTAAGGGGAAAAAAGAAAAATACTCCCAATCACACCCCACTAATTGTCGATAGTAGAGTATCTGCTGGAGGCCAATTTCGAAAGGAATATACGGTTTCATTTCTGTCTTCATTAATCATTATAGTATCATCCTCTGATGTTTCTTAAAATAACTAAATCTATTGGTGGACTTGTTCTAAATCTTGGATGAAGAAGACATAACCACGTAATGTCACATTTGTGTTTTGTTAAAACAAAAATCATAAATTCTCAAAAAGTTATATTAAAAGAAACTAAAATTGAATCTGAATAATACGTTTTTCCACGCATAACTTTAAGATATTTTTTATATTCCATCAAACTTAAAAACGTAAATAAACGTGAAAGCATAACGCATGTGAGGTTTATTTGTTTCAAGTTTTGGTTATTATAAGCATGTCCTTGTTTTATTAATCTTACTTTTTACATTGGTACACCTCAATATTTCTGATAGCCATTTAAATTATTATTATACGAATCACATATCTTCAGTTAATATTTACAACAATTCAAGGCACATTGTTGCCCCCATCATCCGGAAAAAAATATATTTAAAAATACACTTAGAATAACAAAAAGATCGTATAACATTTTTTTAAAGCCTATAATAAGAATAAGCAAATGTTAAAATAAGTTAAATGACAACTTATAATAGAGTGCATAAAATATTCATCAATATGAATCATATTTCATCTCACAACATGAAAATGTTCACATTAAAATGTTCACATTAAAATGTTTGTCATAATACAAAAGGTAAGACAGAAGGTACAGAACATTCCTGCAAGTCGAAAACTGATGGGAAACTACGGGAGAAACATTTTACGGAGTTGAAATATATTTTTGTAGTACTTCATATTTGTTAACATAGAACAACATTTCATTTATCTCAGATATATGACCTTACTTGTTGACCAGTGATGACAATTAACGAATGCAGTACAGGAATTTTGTTTTAAAAATCTTTTCGTGGCTTACTTGATTGACCTTCAAGTAACCTGGCATTAAGGGTGTTTTTATCACAATCCCTTGTTAGAATAAGGCGTGAATTCATTCTTCGAAGAAGACTGGATGTAATTTTATGTACATCGCCGCTACGCCATCC